GGTCTCAGACAGTTCATCAAATGACCCCCAAACACTGGATTCAAGCCACAGCACACTGTGAAGACAGTGAAGCATGGTGGCACAAGCATCAGGATATGGGGATGTTTATCATACTACGGTGTTGGGCCTATTTATCGCATACCAGGAATCATGGATCAGTTTGAAAACATCAGAATACTTGAAGAGGTCATGCTGCCTTATGCTGAAGAGGACATGCCCTTGAAATGGGTGTTTCAACAAGACAACTCCAAACCCACCAGTAAGCAAACAGCATCTTGGTTCCAGACCAACAAGATTAACCACCTCCCGTCCGGCCGTTGTATATACAACGGCCGGACTGTGGCACTGCAGGGTCAGGTGGCAGTTTATAAACAGCCTCCCCGGAGCACGCAGCAGCGCGATCCGGTGCCCGCTGTGTCCTCCGGACACAGTGAAACACCGATCGGAAGGGACCTCTGTACGAGGTCCCGATCATGTGATCACTGATTGGCCAATCAGTGATCACATGCAAAGTAGTAAGCAAGATGTCACTTGCAATTAAAAGTGTACAATATACAAATGAGATTAACAGAGGAGTTACATAGATGTCCAGTATTATCATGTATAGCCCCAATATGCACATCCAGCTGCTGAGATCATGCAATCCAGGCCAGTAGAATGCCTGGCTTCTCCCCATCAGGCGTTTTTGGAAAAAAAAAAAACCAAATGCTTATTAGCCTTTTTTTAGTAATCAATTGCTATAAAGCCAATTGTGTTTTCATCCACCTTGTTGGGTTAGTTGGAGAGGGATCGCTACCCGTACCAAATGATGAGCCTGCTCTTCACTCTTAGTAGCCTATTTCAACATATAACCTCTTTGATTAAAAGAAAAGGAAGTAGGCTTTCAATTGATCCCAAATCATATTTCTTGAGGCAGAGCCATTATTAGTGAAAAAAGGAATATTTTATATCAGACACATATAGAATGAGACAACCAGGAGGGACTGAACAACCAAACATTCAGTAAATTGGAATGAATTAGAGCCATAGTAATTGCAATTAACCTCTTCCCGTCCACCCATTGACCAATCACAGCACTCACATAGTAAACCTGTCAGGATGCTTGTACACTCAGACTGCTGTTACAGCCACTCCAGTGTCCTGATCACTGCCCCAGTATATACATAATAAAACATGCAGTTAACCCATCTGTCAGAGTGTGCATGAAAACAGCCCCCATATCAATGTCCTGCTCACCGCAATACCCCATTACCAGCATTCTGATCACTGCCATACCCCATTACCAGTGTCCTGACTACTGCCATACCAGTGTCCTGATCACCACCATACCTCATGCCAGCATCCTAATCACCGCCATACCCCATTACCAGCATCCTGACTACTGCCATACCAGTGTCCTAATCACCATACCTCATGCCAGTGTCCTAATCACCACCAAACCTCATGCCAGCGTCCTAATCACCGCCATACCCCATGCCAGCATCCTGACTACTGCCATACCAGTGTCCTGATCACCACCATACCTCATGCCAGCGTCCTGTTCACCGCCATACCCCAAGCCAGCGTCCTGATCACCGCCATACCCCAGGCCAGCGTCCTGATCACCGCCATTCCCCAAGCCAGCGTCCTGATCACCGCCATTCCCCAAGCCAGCGTCCTGATCTGCCCCAGTATATACATAATAAAACATGCAGTTAACCCATCTGTCAGAGTGTGCATTCCCTCACCGCAATACCCCATTACCAGCATTCTGATCCTGACCCCACCGTCCCTACTGCCATACCCCTGATCACCACCATACCTCAGCCAGTCCTAATCACCGCCATACCCCATTACCAGCATCCTGACTACTGCCATACCAGTGTCCTAATCACCATACCTCATGCCAGTGTCCTAATCACCACCAAACCTCATGCCAGCGTCCTAATCACCGCCATACCCCATGCCAGCATCCTGACTACTGCCATACCAGTGTCCTGATCACCGCCATTCACCCCAGCCAGCGTCCTGATCACCGCCATACCCCAAGCCAGCGTCCTGATCACCGCCATTCCCCAAGCCAGCGTCCTGATCACCGCCATTCCCCAAGCCAGCGTCCTGATCACCGCCATTCCCCAAGCCAGCGTCCTGATCACCGCCATTCCCCAAGCCAGCGTCCTGATCACCGCCATTCCCCAAGCCAGCGTCCTGATCACCGCCATTCCCCAAGCCAGCGTCCTGATCACCGCCATTCCCCAAGCCAGCGTCCTGATCACCGCCATTCCCCAAGCCAGCGTCCTGATCACCGCCATTCCCCAAGCCAGCGTCCTGATCACCGCCATTCCCCAGCCAGCGTCCTGATCACCGCCATTCCCCACCGCCATATTCCAGCCATACCCCAAGCCAGCGTCCTGATCACCGCCATTCCCCAAGCCAGCGTCCTGATCACCGCCATTCCCCAAGCCAGCGTCCTGATCACCGCCATTCCCCAAGCCAGCGTCCTGATCACCGCCATTCCCCAAGCCAGCGTCCTGATCACCGCCATTCCCCAAGCCAGCGTCCTGATCACCGCCATTCCCCAAGCCAGCGTCCTGATCACCGCCATTCCCCAAGCCAGCGTCCTGATCACCGCCATTCCCCAAGCCAGCGTCCTGATCACCGCCATCCCCAAGCCAGCGTCCTGAACCGCCATTCCCCAAGCCAGCGTCCTGATCACCGCCATTCCCCAAGCCAGCGTCCTGATCACCGCCATACCCCAAGCCAGCGTCCTGATCTCCGCCATACCCCAAGCCAGCGTCCTGATCACCGCCATACCCCAAGCCAGCGTCCTGATCACCGCCATACCCCAAGCCAGCGTCCTGATCACCGCCATACCCCAAGCCAGCGTCCTGCTCACCGCCATACCGCCCCCAAGCCAGCGTCCTGATCACCGCCATACCCCAAGCCAGCGTCCTGCTCACCGCCATACCCCAAGCCAGCGTCCTGCTCACCGCCATACCCCAAGCCAGCGTCCTGCTCACCGCCATACCCCAAGCCAGCGTCCTGCTCACCGCCATACCCCAAGCCAGCGTCCTGCTCACCGCCATACCCCAAGCCAGCGTCCTGATCTCCGCCATACCCCAAGCCAGCGTCCTGATCTCCGCCATACCCCAAGCCAGCGTCCTGATCTCCGCCATACCCCAAGCCAGCGTCCTGATCTCCGCCATACCCCAAGCCAGCGTCCTGATCTCCGCCATACCCCAAGCCAGCGTCCTGATCTCCGCCATACCCCAAGCCAGCGTCCTGATCTCCGCCATACCCCAAGCCAGCGTCCTGATCTCCGCCATACCCCAAGCCAGCGTCCTGATCTCCGCCATACCCCAAGCCAGCGTCCTGATCTCCGCCATACCCCAAGCCAGCGTCCTGATCTCCGCCATACCCCAAGCCAGCGTCCTGATCTCCGCCATACCCCAAGCCAGCGTCCTGATCTCCGCCATACCCCAAGCCAGCGTCCTGATCTCCGCCATACCCCAAGCCAGCGTCCTGATCTCCGCCATACCCCAAGCCAGCGTCCTGATCTCCGCCATACCCCAAGCCAGCGTCCTGATCTCCGCCATACCCCAAGCCAGCGTCCTGATCACCGCCATACCCCAAACCAGCGTCCTGATCACCGCCATACCCCAAACCAGCATCCTGCTCACTGCCATACACCATACCAGTGTCTGGCGTTTTAGGGTCTCAACTATAAAATTTCAAATATACATCCCCTATTTTGTAGACTCTATAGCTTTCACACAGACTAAATTATTTGCTAAATTTTATAACAAAAATCAAGCCAAAAAAAAAAAAATATTTTTTTTAATTTCCTTTTCGGTATTTAATTTATATAGCAAAAAAAATTTAAAAACCCAGTGGTGATCAAATACCACCAAAATAAAGCAGTCTCAAAGGATAAAAATTTCATATGGGTACAGTGTTGCATGACTAGTTGTCACTCAAAAGTGTGATAGTTGCTGAAAGCTGGCCTGGACTGGAAGGGGGTGATAGTATCTGGACTTAAAGTGGTTAACAAGTGATCCGATTTCCCTCTATGTTGCATAACAGAATAAATATATAGTAATAGTCTGCAGTACCAAACACCATATTAATGTGAGATAATACTTATTTTATTTTTTCTTGTCCCAGATCAGTGATGTATTCATGCCAGGGGAACCCAGGAAAAACAAACTTTCAAAAGGGCAACAGCATGCCACATTTCTTTTTTCATAAAGAGTTCCTTTAATGCAAAGATCTCATTACATTGTATTTGTAGTAATTCCAATCATTATAGATACATTGATTATTGTAAAGTCACACATAAAACAGACAAGTTCTAGCTGCAAATAGTTCTTTCTATAGAATCATTTTCACATTATTTATAAATGAATATTTGCAGCAAAGAAAACACAAAGCCTTGCTTCATATGAAGTTTTACTTTAATGTCATGCAAAAAAAAATTAGTACAACTAAACTGCTGAAAATACATCTATGTGCCCACTTCATTCCAGAATTCCTACTGTTAGTAAAACTAAGTATTTTCCTAGATTGGAGACTGACCGCTACTATGGTACCTTTAACAGGGAAAAAGGTGGCTTTGCTTCACGCGTCTTGGGATTCTTCATTTTCATGCTGCTGAACACTTTGAGAACCCCTTCAGATATGTGCATTGTGGCAGTGCCTATGTTTAATGTGCATTACCACAAAGCATGGCAACGTACCTGCAGCAATGAGTGTTGCATTGTGGCCCCATTCAGTGTGGATGGTTCCCCAATGCATTGCACAGCAGGCCCAATGTGCACCAGAACACAACATAGGTCTGTATGTTTTTTCATTCAGTATGGTGTTTTGGCTCAATTAAGTGCAAAATGGTAAAATTTGCAAAACGGTTTTCCTTCAACACCGGAAACCTAAATCAGGTGGTATGAAATGGCTGGCTTAAACATTTGAAACGATTTGTGGTTTGAACAGTTAAGTGCAAAATCGGAAAAAATCTGCAGATTGTTTTAGGAGCTAAGCTGCTCATACAGCTTGGGGACATAATCATCCCACTCAGCCTGGTAGCAACTCCCAGCAACAGGGGCTCCCAGCCCATACTTCTTGCGGAAACTAGACACCTTAAAGCATCCTCTGTGTTCACCAGAGTGGTTGGTCAGAATTCGCTCATCGCATTTCAGTGACTCCTTCTGCTCATATACCAACCAGACATAACGATGGAGACCTAGAGAAAGAAAAAAAAAAAAACTCAAAGATGTGAAAATGTCTGAATCTACATAAAAAGCTGTCTAAATATACTACAATGTATCAAATTAGGTTTCACATGAAATGTATTCACAGTATGAAGTACAAACCACAAACATTCCTCTGCCTTCCCAATCAAATGTCTACATTTCCTAATGCAGAACTAGGAGCAGACACTTTTAGGTTTTTCAAAAAGTGAAGAAGACCCATCAGGATTGAAATGCTGCCTTATTCCCTACTAAGAAACTTATCCCTTGCTTGGGCTGACACCCATCATCATCAGGGCATGAAGTGAGACGTGCCCCTCATAGGCACACAGACAGCAAACAATCCTGGCAGAGGTCCCTTTCTTTGAGTTCCACCTTCAGGAGCAAGACTCTAGGAAGTGGAAGAAAAAAAAAAAAAAAAAAAAAAAAAAAAAAAAAAAAAAAAAAAAAAAAAAAAAAAAAAGGGAAGGAAGAACACAGCACCACCTTTAGGCAGATCTAACTGGTAGTCACACCCCCCCCCCCCCCCCCCAGCTATAGGCAGCTCAAATTGTCACAAAGCAGTACAAGGAAAAACATATTTAGGGGTGGGTTAATGAACTCATAGAAAATGGTTTACGGTAACAAAGAATTCCTATTTTCTCTTATGTTCATTGATGGACAAAGCGCTTCCTAATTTTTGACCATGGGGATGTCCCATGGTTGTGGCTTCACTGAGAGAAAACATGCACCAACACAGACTCCACCCAAAAGAGGGGAACAAGAGAGCTCAAACAGCTGCTTACAAAACCTTGTGGCCAAAACACACATCTGAAGATGCCCACACATCAACCTTGTAAAAGGCGAAAGATTTAGACGATCTGAAGAGAAACCAGAGTATATGATCAACCTTGTAAAGATGTACACAGACAACTACATAACCAACTTGCAAACTTGAGACAATGCATGATATCAGAAAGGAAGCAATAAATCGCCCTGGTGGAGCATCACAATGGGAAAAGGAGAAGCTCGTCCTTCAATGGTATATGCCTGGATCACTGTCGGTCCGCTCCACTGAGAAACAGTGGCATAGGAAGGCGACAAGACTTTACGTGGGCTATCTGCAACCACAAAGAGAAGCAGACCTCTAGAAGGAGGCCGTGCAGACAGATACACATGGACCGCCCAAACCACATACAAGAACTGCATCACAATCTCTTTAGGGTGTGAAGGGCACAGGAAGGCAGGGAAGACACCACCTTCAGAAGGAAGGAGGGATGTGGATGAAGAACCACCTTATCCCTATGTAAAACCAAACAGAGGGACTTACAGGACAAGGCTGCCAGCTCTGACACATTGCCTTTTTAGTTGCTATCACTTTCACGCAAACTCCCAGGAGAGAATTATCAAGGGAAGATCCCCAATATTTTCAAAGAGACGTTTCTGAAAAACTGAAAGAATGAGGTTCAAGTCTCACAACAGAAATGGATATCTCACTGGAGAAGGCCCAAAGTCAAGCCCCTTGATTAAAGTATGAATCCAAAGACTGCGTTGAAAGAAAACTGCCTTTAAAAATGGTACTCAAGGCAAACTTCTAGTCACTGCCCCATTAGAGAAAGGTCAAAATCTGAAACACTGGAAGGATACACAGATGCAAGCTGTCAGCCATGCAAAAAGTATGAGGGCAAATCTTCCGAGAGGTGGATTTATGTAACCTAAACATGGTGGGAATGACAAAGGATGACAACCCTCTGTATCTCAGAACCAGGCTGCCAAGCCAGCGACAGTAAAACAGGGTGGAAGATTGGCCCTTGGGATAGAAGATCTTCTCAAAGAGAAAGCTGCCAGGGGACGTCGCCCACTATGTTGGGGTACCTTGGTTGACGAGGCCTATCTAAAGCCATCAGAAGAACTGGATTCCCTACGGTCTCTACCCTGCGAATCAGTCAAGGGAGGAGGAAAGTAAGACAACATTAATGGCTCCACAGCACATCTGTCACATCTGCCAGGGGGTCCCTAGTTCTTGCCACAAAGCACGGTACCCTTTCTGTACCTTCATGGAAGATCCATGCCCGGAGTGCCCCACAGCAGACAGAGCTTGTGAAAGTGTCTGGGTGCACTGACCACCCTCCTTGATCCAGTGTTTCCTGGCTGAGGTAGTCTGCTTGCCAGTATTTCAGGCCTGGAATGTAGAGGGTGGACTGGGCCAGACCATGAATTGAGGGAACAAGGTACTCAAGCCCACCCAAGAAAAGTTGGGGGAAGGGGGATTACCAGTTAGGACTGCCCACGGGTGATGCTGTGTTCTATTGTTCCGCCTAGTGTTCTACTTCTGAAGGTGGCACTATAATCCCATGGTCAAGAATTAGGAAGAGCTGTGTCCATCTGTGAATGTAAGAAATGTGTTCTCTGTCAGTATTGGTGATGTATATACGCTTTATCTCTGGGTTTACACATAGGATATTAAAGCCTTGTGGGGTTTTTTTGTTTTAACACAAAATGCAAGTGATACTAAAGCACACAATGGTGGGGAAGCGTGGGGGTCATTTGGGGTGTACTAAATGTTTGACTGGGCAATAAAAGAGCAAAAGCATGCTTCCGAGGTCATCCCTGTGCACTTTCTACAGGCAAACTCCTAGTATAAGATCAACAGCACTGTGCAAAACAAAAAGGTCATGACCAAGGCACACAGCCACCCTAAACAGACTGGGAACTAGTACAAAGATAAATTTCAGGTTTCTACACTAGCAGTCCTCAATAACACTGCAAGAATTTTAGCAAACTTCATAAGACTTTGTTCCTGCTTTGTGGAGCGTGACACATGTATCACTTCCACTTTCCTGACTCCCAAGTAGATGGAAAGGTCCATCTTCTATAATCATACAACCAGTCCCAATACTACAGGAAGAAGAAAACTGCAAGAGAAAAAAAAAAAAAAAAAAAAAAGAAGAAGAAGCAGTAGTAAGCCAATTAAATTGCATATTAAGGAAATTTAAAGTATCTGTACACCGTTTACCAGTTGCCTTGATTACAAGGAAAAAGGATAATTGAATTTTCTTGCAGTTTCACAAAATAATATCTGGTTGTAATCAAGATGCAAAGGGAATTTTACCAATAATTCATAAAATGTCTTATGTAGCTTTTTATATAAAATAGCTTGTACAGCTTTCGTTAATGTTATATCCATTCTCTTAAGTGGAGTTAACCTTTAAGCATTTGGTTGGCTTGATGTACTGCAACTACTTTAGCTAAACCCAGGACCCTTCATTCACTATATCTGCTCTCCCACAGTACACAGAAATGCAATTATGTTAGTAGATATAAACTGCTAAATACCTGTTCCCATCAGCAGTTAGAGCAGTCTTGGGACTTCTAGCAGTGTCCAGCAGAGCACATGTTAAAGCTTGTAGGAGGAGTGCAGAACCCCCCGACCTCTGTCTGGACAGTGCTGACTGGCACTGTGCCAATCACATGTAATCTCCCAAGGAACAAAACAAAAAAAAAACACAACAAACACCACACACAACACACCTCTAGCAATACACACCAAACTGAGCATGTGCAGAATGACTCCACACGATATGTCTTATCAGGAGATAAGAGGCAGGCAGACATTGGAAGAAGGGGAGGATCAGAGAAGACAGGATCAAATAGCCTTTTCCAAAATGGAGTATTAACTCCTTAGGTTCCACACAAGTATTTACTGCATCTACAGACTGATTTTATGGTTGTGGGTTTAGTAGCACTTTAATACTTAAATCACTTTTTTTTTTTTTTTTTTTTTTTTTAAATTGAATAAAAAAAAAAAAAAAAAAAAAAAAAAAAAGTTAAAAGTTTTAATTTTCTCTATACAATTATATTGCTTTGAAAGGTCCCTTTCCTCCTGTTCCGGCAGTCCCTGGAGGAGCACTCAGCTCTTGACCTACTCAAGCTGGAGTTAGCTTGTGGCTCTGCTACCCTCCTATGAAAGCAGGAGGTAAAGGGAGCGGGGATGGCGACATGGGCAGCAATTAAGTGGAGACAGAGCCAGGTAAGTGTTTAGGGACAGAGAGAGGGTAGGGCAGGTAGTGGGGAGCTTTTCACTTTAATGCAGAGGGTACATGAAGACAAAATCCACTTAGACTTTAGTATCACTTTAAACCTGTGCATTTTCAGGCTTCATTTCCATTGTAAGTCAGCATACACATCCAGATGGTTTAATGTCATTGCCATCTCACACTATTATTTTCCATAAATGTCATGTCACTCACCACTTCCTTTTGGTGGACCTGAGCCAACATAATCAGACAGGACACAACCACTGCTGATGTCGTTCGCCCTTTCAAGTTTACAGCAAGAAAGTGGTGCCATTCCCTAAAGCAAAAGGTAAAAATACATTTGAAAACATCTAGACATAATTATGATGACACAGTGATTGAGTGTTCTGTGCTTTATTAGAACTATAAATTACTTTTACTAACAAGATTGGGGGGATGTCTAACCTGAAATACTATATTTTGGATTATTTCCTGCTGGGTGCATCTGGGGGGGTCTGTCATTGCAATAGTGTACAGAAATACTATTTGTTGCTGTCCATGCCTTCCCATGAAATGCTTGTAGGGCAGTTCTGAACCTACATTTTGAAAACATGAAGAATTCTATGAAATACTATATGAAAACCATGTAGACCCTGATACAAATTTCATCTCCTCCTTTACATCTTTCACAAGGAACTATGTAGACCCCGCTACACATTACATCTCCTTTCCTCTCTTTCACAAGGAACTGTCTAGATCCTGCTACAATTTTGAAAACACAGATCCACCTCCTTCCTTACTCTTCTTTCTTTCACAAAGAATCTGTAGCAGGATTTGCATGGATTTTTTTATTGGAAAAAAAACAAAAAAAAAAAGAAAAAAAAACACACATTTTTCTTTGTTTCTGTTATAAACGTTTGCAAATAAATAATTGTTCTTCATAAATTTAGGCCAAAATGTATTCTGCTACATGTCTTTGGTGAAAATAACCCAAATTA